AAGAGCGTTGCTGATAAAGAGGCAGTGGAAGGATTTGAAGAGCTTCCCTTCCCTAGAAACAGATCTTTTCTTGGCAGAGAGAAGGAGATCACTGAAATCGAGATGGCTTTCTTTGGGAATGGAGAGTATCTTGAATCTACAACGCCGAGCATCAGAGGAGAAGCAAGTGGCCAATCTGAAGGATTTGCAGATGAAGAGAGCGATGTTGTTTCCATTTCCACCAGGACAGGGAAATATATTAGCTTGGAGCTCGGGAAATGCTCAGAGCCAGCAAGTGAGGCATGGAGTGGTGAACCAAATGCTAACGCCATGGGAAGAAACTCGCTGAAAAGGCTGTTGAACAGCAAGAAATACAGAAACAGCAACTGCAAAGGGACGAGTGGTACAAGTGTCATTTGCGTAAATGGAGTACCCGGGATTGGAAAGACGGAGCTGGTTCTTGAATTCGCTTACCGGTATTCCCAGAGGTACAAGATGGTGTTATGGGTCGGAGGGGAAGCCCGATACTTCAGACAGAACCTGTTGAATCTGTCACTCAGCTTGGGACTGGATGTGAGTTCTGATGCTGAAAAGGAGAGAGGGAGGCTTCGAAGCTTCGACGAACAAGAGTTCGAGGCGTTCAAGAGGATAAAACGGGAGCTTTTCCGCGATATGCCGTATTTGCTGATCATCGATAACCTCGAGATAGAGAAGGATTGGTGGGAAGGAAAAGATCTACATGATCTGATTCCTAGGAACACTGGAGGCACACATGTCTTGATCACGGCCCGACTTCCCAATGTCATGAACTTTGACATGATCCAGCTCCCTCCATTGCCTTTGTCTGATGCAATGCTTTTGTTGAGAGGAAGAAGAAAGAAAGATATCCCGACTGAGGAGGTAGAGATCCTCATGAAGTTTGACGAGAAATTGGGACGTTCGAGCTATGGCCTTTGGCTGACAGGATCATTGCTCTCGGAATTGGCAATCCCTCCATCTGTGCTCCTTGAGGCAGTAAACAAAGTTCAGATTGAAGACCGTTCACCCTCACCGTTTTGCAACATAAACGATGAACAATACTGCAAAGCCAACCCTTTTATTACAAAGATCTTAACTTTCTGCTTGGCTGTCTTAGAGCAAGCTGAAGGAAACAGAAGCCTTCTCTCCTTGAAAATGCTTCTGGTCGGAGCCTGGTTTGCCCCTGTACCAGTTCCGGCTAGCTTACTAGCTGCAGCTGCTAAGAAAATGCCCACGGGTGGAAACCCTTTCAGCATATGGAGCAAATGCTTGAGCCACACATTCGCTTGGTGTGGTGGCTGTGATCTAGGACACAGAAGTGAAGAGGATTCAGCCCTTTTACTTGTCAGATTAGGACTAGCGAGGATAACTAACAGACAGCCTGGTTGTTGTATTCAGTTCCATCCCATAACTCAATCTTTTGCCAGGAGAAGAGACTGTGTACTAGCACCCAAGGCGACGGTTCAAGGCGTGAGGAAAATCAACAAACCCGTGGTGAACCTTGACCACCTGTGGTCCTCAGCATTCCTCGTGTTCGGATTCAAATCAGAACCGCCATTGGTCCAGCTAAAGGCCGTTGATATGGTGGTTTACATCAAGAAAACAGCTATCCCTTTGGCAATCACAGCTTTCACAACCTTCTCCAGGTGCAACTCAGCTCTAGAGCTCCTGAAAGTCTGCACCAACGTTTTAGAGGAGGTGGAGAAATCGTTCGTTTCTCAGATACAAGACTGGCGCCATGCCTCGCTCTGCTGGAAGAAATCTAGCAGGAGAAGGGTCGATGAATACGTGTGGCAGGACGTTACTTTGCTGAAAGCCACATTGCTCGAGACCAGAGCGAGGCTGCTGTTGCGAGGCGGGCATTTCGAAAGTGGAGAGGAGCTGTGCAGAACTTGTATCAGTATCAGGACAGTGATGCTTGGCCACAATCATGCCCTCACCTTGGCTGCTCAAGAAACACTGGCGAAATTAGTCAGGATGCGGAGCAAGATATGAAAAGGCCTTGCACTAGAGGCTCAGTTTTGTAATAGAATGTAACGGTTTCCGAAACCAGTTCAGAACAATCTCATTCCTCTGTACATTTCCAACTTCCTGGGAACAATCATGTTCAGAACTTACCAGACATTTCATCCCATTGAGCTCTTTTAAGGGGAAACGAACAGACGCATTTAATAAATTGAATTCCCTTTTCAGCAATATGTGTTTCCTGATGGCGTATTCGTTGCATTCGGGCAACCATAAGAACATCACCCAAAGATAAGCATGGGGAGATAAAGCACGGAGCTTTATACATATGGACACACACACAGAGATATTGATATATGTGTATATATATATACACACACACAAACAAGTATATTTGCCAATCATTTCACCCTTCAATTGAGATTTCATTACAACACTGTCCAAACTTATTATCCTCCATTCCTCGGAGAGCAACATAAACTCCAAAGACAAGGTATACAGAAACCCAGACCTTCTGTATTAGACAGAGAGTTCAGTCTTAGAGATCAAGATACCATCACTGTCAGCATAAAGCCACTCTCCATCTTTGATCAGAGTTCCTCCAATGTGTACAGGGACATGTTTCTCACCATGCCCCTTCTTAGATGACTTCAATGGATTAGACCCTAATGCCCTGACACCGATATCACAGCCATTGATCTCGTCTACATCCCTGACACATCCGTTCACCACGATCCCGCCCCACCCGTTGTTCTGAGCCAACTGCCCGAGATTCCCACCAACAAGGGCACACCTCATGCTTCCACCACCATCTATGACCAGGACTCGACCTTCCCCTTTTGACTCGAGGAGGCTTCTGACAAGTACATTGTCCTCAAAGACCTTTAGGGTAAGGATTGGTCCCGAGAAGCAACGCCTTTGGCCATAGATTTGGAACATGGGTTGCAAACAACGTAGGTCACCGCTTGCTATTAGTTCCGCATTGTTATCAACCGCTTCTGCTGTCGCAAATGCAGCCATGGTGAATGGTTTTCTGCATCAAATAACAAGGCTTTACGGTTGTAGTCAGCGACGTAGCAAAAGACTTACAGAATAACCAAAGCAAAAACACAATCAGATTTACATGAAAAACCCAACATACAGAGAAGAGAAATGCACCACTAAGTCATTGAAACAGAGAACTTTGGAAATTCCATATACATATATATATGTGTGTGTGTGTGTATGTGTATGTACTATGTATCACCCAAAACAATAACATTACACCTGGCCGAGCAGATGAGTCTGCTTGGAATTTCCCTCAAGGAAGGCGAGTGCATTGACGAGTGGCGCAATCTCATATTTGATGGGCCGTGGAGGAGCATTCCACCCAAGAGTCTCATTTTTGTCAAAATCATCGGACAAATTGTGATACTCACTCCACTGTTGCCAAAACTCTAACATGTGAACATAGAGAAAGGATCTCAACTGAGTTACTAACAAAAGAACATTTTCAGGTGACCTTTTTCATCTTCTACATGGACAAACTCGTATTCTGATGACTCAATTATGCCCAAAGGTATACAGCATTGATCCGGGATACCATAAGTCATAAGATTAATGGAGAACCAAAGACACCAAACTCACATGAACTATAAATCAATTCTTCACATAGCAAGAAAGAAATTCAGTCGCATATAACTGAATGCACTCAAATTGATATACCATTGGTAGATCAACAATGACACAATGGAATTAAAAGCTAAGGATGCTGGCTCATTGATTAATGGCATCGTCTGAATCGATATAGAATTAGTGGGCTGCCAATCTAAGTGAAGTACATGCCTTTCCACTAGAATTCCCTCGAGAACAAAACACCAAACGCCATAAAAATCCCAACACCAAATTCCCGCATGAAATGATACTAAAGTTCACTTCACCTAAGCTAACAGCAACAAAGAAAAAAAAAACATAGAACAGGGCATAGACTCTTTAAGCAGAGACCAGACAAAAAGGGCCAAACTTGTTTTGAAGGAAGAAGGTGAACCTACTTCTCAGGAGCAAATAATCAAACACCATGCAGTCACTCGTAGCTACAAAACCCATCTAGCCATAATGACTTGGCTTTTGACAGAATCGAATCAATCGCACCAAGATGATCACCGATAGATAGACACTATGAAGGAAAACAAGAAGCAAAAGGAAGAAGAAGCAGGAGGAGGGAAATTGCCTGTGAGACGACGAGTTCCGAGCTTTCCGCCTTCAGCAACAAAAATGGAGGAGGGTATCTAATGCAATAAGCCATCATATCATACATATATATATATATATATATAGAAATGGATGAAGTCATCAGATAATATCCCATTTGCCAAACGAAATCCTCGTAGAAAGCTGTTCCATCCATGAGGGCTTATCATCAAACTGCCGAATCAATGGCAGATCCGAACTATAAAACAAATTTCTAGATTTCTAATGGGCCTTTCATGGCCCAATAGGCCTAACTTCCCCTTTTCCATTCAGTGGCCCCAGCTTGATCTTGGACGTTGTAGGGTCCACATAGAGAATCCGAACCGTCGATCTAAAAAGGGTTTTGGTCAATTCCCGTCTTTTGACCGGAAAACTGCTCGTGAGTTTCCCCAATTAATTATTGCATTTATTATTTAATTATAATTATTGTAATTAACCATTCATTACAAAACCCCCTCCCCCTATGTAATAAAATACTACAATCTTATTATCTAATGATCCTCATTGTACGTTAACGTTAAATATTGATAATTTTTATTTATGGGTCTCCGGATTTAGTGTTTTATGATAATAATAATAATAATAATAATAATAATAATAATAATAAGAATAATAATTGTATATTTTTATTTCTAATCATTCTTCTTGATCTATCATACTTGCTATTAAGATTAAATTAACGGTCCAACCAGGAGTAGATGCTATACTATCAAGTAGATCTTTTGCATTGGATCCCATTACACGGGCACATCCAATTTGAGATGAAATTTTAGTACATATATATATATATATAAGTATTTACAGTATTATAGTTTTGTTGAAATGATAATATTATTATATTATGTGATATTTCTTTCTCTAAAAAAAGGACTCCAAACTGTATAATATATCCAATTAAATATATTTTTAGATCGAAAGCTCGTGAATAAGTAGTGCACAACAAACTAACAAAGTAAGAAAAAATATTTAACAGGCTAAAATATATATAAACAATGGAAGAAAGCAGTTCTTAACAATATAGAAGAAGGAGAAATAACCATATATTGTGCATTGAGTGGTTATAATTATTTCGATATATTTATTTATTCTTTATATTTTTTTTCTAACATTTCCACATCTTATACTAAAAATAGTTCGATTATTAGTTAGATTTTCTGTTCCCAATTTCTCTAATTAATGTGGCCCTTATTGTGAAAAGAAAAACAACAACAATAAGAAACTTCTTTTGTTATAATATTGGTGCCACCCCATTATAAACAGTATTTGTTATAATATAATATTCTAATTTTTTTTTGGACGTTGCACAATCGACATGCAAAAATAAAGTTTAAAGAAGGATAAAAAGTGAAAAGTTGGCAGACAATTTGTCCGGATCTTCTGTGAGAAGGTGTACGGGACTTATCTTGGCCAACCAATGAGATTTGTTTTCATGGTGGAAGAATCCATGCAGATGTCCACGTGGAACGATATTATTCGTGGAATTTGGACGAGACGTAAAAACTCGTGTATATGGGGAACTCGAATCATCGTCGTCATCATTTCCTGCAACTTTTAATCGGTTCCCAAAGAGTAACAATCACAGCTCAATCAAATGGCCTAATCTCTCTCTCTCTCTCTCTCTATATATATATATATGTATATCCATCGAAGAAAGGTTCCATTCATTTGTGTTATCGCCCACAAGCACAATCCTCTTCTTTTCGGCTGATTTCCTTTGATTTTCAAATTTTCATCGTAATTTAAGGTATAGGTTGAGGGAAATTTTTTTGTCTGGATGGTGGAAAGTCTCGGAGATTCGTCTAATTTTGCTGCGAAATCTCTGTAGTTGTTGTCAATAAACATCATCATTTCATTTCCGGTAAAGGATATCACATACTTTTTCCCCTCCGAGAGAGAGAGAGAGAGAGAGAATGTACAAGTTATTTTTCTTTCCATCCTTTTTGAGATTCCTGTGACACCCACAAGGGGGGAGAGAGAGAGAGAGAACTCTCTCATTGTTTCGAGTATCTCTTATCTACTAAATTACGGAGAGAATTCGACCCGGGTCGGATTTTTTGTCTGCGGGTTCGGATCGGGTCCAGTTGGTGGTTGCGGCGGAGGCGGAGGCGGAGGCGGTGGCGGGTCGTGTTCAATCAGTCAGGTGACGGTTCAACATTTATTGATCCCTCTCGTCATCCTCCACAATTTTTGAAATTGTTCATCTGGGTGCTCCTTTTTTCTGTTTGAATTTCATACGCGTTGTCTTTTTGTCTTTAACTTCAATATCAGAATTCGAACTCAAGATTTTGTCTTTTTTTTAATCAGACAAATCTGCCTACCTTCGAGTTCAAGCTAAATCCCTAATTCTACGCTGTCCACTGGTTTTGTCCTTTTCGATTTCTGTGGCTCGAGGTTTCGCTACTCCAGGGATTGTATTGTCAAGGGTTCTGCATATGAATGATAGTCGAAATCTGCATAAACACAAAATAAAAGAGGTTTTCTTTGTTTTCGTCCAAAGCAGAGTTCTTTCTGTTCTTACTTCTCAGCCCTAGCCACTGATGTTCTCTCTTCTTTTTCTGGGTTTGTTTCAGAATAATTGAGTAGAAGTTCATTGGTTGCTGCATTTGTCTTGAATTTACCCTTTTTCTCCATTGTTTGGTTCTTGCTGTCTATCACGTGGGCTTATGAAGCATCATCGTGGGTTGGTTCTGTTTGTGTAAATTCTTGCGACTTGTTTCGTTATTTTCTTCCAGGAGTGTCAGCTGATTCTTGAGGGTGTTTTGGCATGACTGGTTTTGATGATAACGTTGCTGTGGTGTCCGAATTGGTGCCCTTTAGTCCGAGCCCAAGGACCCTTTTCTCTGCAGTGTTGGGTGAGGAGACGAGTTCCAAGCCGGTGCTGGAGAGATTTCTTCCTTTGAATCAAGGACAGATAGGCTTGGAAGATGTCGGGAAGAAGGGTTCTTCACAAACCAGTCTTCAATTGTCTGAAGAAAAACCGACTTCACGAGGGTGTCTCGGTGAAAGAATTGCTGCCAGAGCTGGGTTTAACGCTCTGAAGGTGAAGACTGAGAATGTTCGGTCTCATTGCTTAACAATCACTTCTCCTGGCCTTAGCCCTGCAACTCTGTTAGAGTCTCCGGTTTTCCTTTTGAACCCCTCGGTAAGTAAGATGTGGAGTTTTCTTCTGTATGGAAGCATCGAGCTTCAGTTTGTGGCTGTGGTCGTTATGAGCGAGAGTATAAGATATACTTTGAAGAGAATAGGCAATGCTGCCCAATTGGCTTATGAATTTTGTACTAATCGATATGGTTTCCCTTTCGGTGTTTTGTGCAATGATTTTTGGATCGGGTTTTCTGTAGTGTTCTTTGGGGGATTCATGTTGATCTCTTCGAAATCTCTTTCACCTGCAGGCCCAGCCTTCTCCAACAACTGGAAAATTTTCGTCGTCCGGTCCTTCTGATGCAACGGACGACGAGTTCTTTGATGATATCGGTGGATCATTCACCTTTCAGCACGTTTCAAGATCTTCTTCCTCTTTCATCCCGGGCACTACCGCCAAAGTAAGTTTGTAAGCATAAAACATATATATGCCTCGGAAATCAGTTTTTTTGTATCAAAAAAACATCTGAGAATTCTTGGGTTTTGCATCAAATTTTTGTGCAGGTCTCTCCTTTCTCCCAGTACTTCTTTCCTGGTACAGAGATGTCCTTTGATTATGGTTGTAATAGGTCTTGGAACATAGAAACTGCCAATCTTCATGCCGACTTTCCTGGAACATCATCTGACGGACACAACAGTGGGAATGACACTGACCCGGACGAGCAAACGATCCCTGAAGCAACAAACATCGGCAGCAGACCTGATGGTATTCAAGACGAAGAGCAAAGGCGGGATGGAGGAGACTCGGTGGCAGGTGGTGCGCCGGCAGAGGATGGGTACAACTGGAGAAAGTACGGACAGAAGCTAGTTAAAGGAAGTGAGTATCCACGGAGTTATTACAAGTGTACAAGCCTGAACTGTCTGGTCAGGAAGAAAGTTGAACGGTCCCGCGAAGGTCAAATAACCGAGATTATTTACAAAGGAGCTCATAATCACCCGAAACCTTCTTCTCCTAGCCGTCGCTCAGCCATTAGAACCGATCAAGATGAACAGTGGAGCTGTATAGGCAGAGATTCTTCCTGGGCAGGTACCCTACAAGCTGGAGCAGATGAGTGTGCTGAGGACCAGTCCGGACCAATGCAGGTTCAAGGTGGAACTCACCATGAATCAGTTGATGCCTCGTCTACTTTCTCTAACGCCGAAGATGGGGAAGAAGGTGAAGAAGATGAAACCGAGTCGAAAAGAAGGCAAGAAAAAAGATCATGTTTCCTTTCTATAAGAACGGATCAAAGATTGATAATGGTGAGAAATTTCTGATGATGTTGAGGTTTTCAGGAAATTTGAAGCTTACGCAATCGAGGCGAGCGGAGCAACAGCAACACGAGGTGTCCGTGAGCCGAGAGTTGTGGTTCAGACAACGAGCGATGTGGACATCCTTGACGATGGATATCGGTGGCGGAAATACGGTCAGAAGGTCGTCAAGGGAAACCCTAATCCCAGGTTCTGGTCATGAACTTAGCCATTTTGCCATGCAAGATGAGACTGCAAGGAAAAAAAAAACCTTGCCTCTGTTAATGCGGCTTGTGTTGTTTTGGCATGCAGGAGTTACTATAAATGCACAGCTCCTGGATGTACAGTGAGGAAACATGTGGAGAGAGCTTCTCATGATCTCGAGTCAGTCATAACCACATACGAAGGCAAACACAACCATGACGTACCCGTGGCTCGAACCAGTGGCTCAGCAGCTCTTCATACCCACATGCACCGGCCCGCGCCGGCCCAACCGGTC